GCAAAAATATTTCATAACTCTACCTAAGCCAATACTACCCTTTACCGAGTAAACTTCTAAAATTAATAACTCCCAAATAAAAAGTGATAAAATAGAAATTCTTTCACCTAAACTCATTTTAGACTAGTACCAACCCACTGTGTACAAATCATGCATTTTAGAGCATATTGGATTTTTCGTCTATTTCGTGTGTAGCAATAACAGTGAAAGAGTGACTTAGGTGCTAACATTTCCCAGTGGCGATGGTCAGGATAAGACTTCTATGCAACCGCAGTCCGCCGACTAATCTTTTGGCAGAAAAAGAAGGAGCATGTATAGACGCTATGCCACTCTCTCACACGCTCACATTAAACCAACAGCATGGTTAAGGCTTGCATGTAGGATAAGGATGCTGTGGCGATGGTTTGGATAAGGCTTCTATGCTACGGCAGTCCGCAGACTAATCTTTTGGCAGAAAAAGGAGCATGTATAGACGCCATGCCACTGTCTCACGTCGCTCACATTAAACCAACTGCCTTGTTAAGGCTTGCATGCATGCATGTAGGATAAGGATGCTGTGGTGGTCTGGATAAGACTTCTATGCGACCGCAGTCTTTTGACAGAGAAAAGAGGACCATTTACAGACGCCATGTCACTCTCTCAGTTTTGTCTCTCTTTTGAGCAAAATGAGACGAGACTAGAGAAAATGTTAGCTGATTTAATTAGTTTGCCAAGCATTCACTCGTTATCTTTTTCGTTAGCAGATGCTAGCTGATTAAATTAGTTTGTCAAACATCAGTCCTATTTTTTCTCTCTCCACCGAACGCATCGGTTATAGTAACAGAGCAAAAAAAAATCGTACGGGGTTTACTATTGTTTTAAATAATATATTTATATTAAATTAAAATTATTATAAAAACTATATTCACATTATATTGCTAACATTAGCTTAAGTCTCTATATATTTATTTCAAATTTGTTAATATTTATGTTAGTAAAATAAATAAACTAGCACTTGATTTTAGTAATATTGCTCTCCCTTGAACTCACATCGATGGGCGAAGCCAAAAAAATTTTGTATGTGGTTCACTATTTTACAAAATAATCATATTAAATTACAAATTAAAAATTATACTCATAATACATCACGAAGAATTAGCTACTTAAGCCCCTAAATATAATTTTTAAATTTTATTAGTGCTTATGCCAAAAAAATGAATAAACTATCACCTAATTAATGCTGACATTACTGGCCAAACTCGCATGCTATCACCATATATATTTTAATTTGATTATAGCATAATTCTTTTATTTTTAACATCTTCAAAGTGACTCCTGATTTCATGTTTTGCAAAGGTAATCCACTTAATTCCAAAAATGCAATTGGAGCTTGTTTTGTCGTACATACATTGTGATTTTTCCAATTTCAAATTAATATTTAGCATCAAACTATCTAACATTTCAGAACATCATGAAAAAGGGAAAAACATAATGATCTGAGTTAATTATAATTTGAGAATCATACTAGTAAAAGTAAAAAAAAAAGTATCCATCTAAACTGCAATTCGTAGTTTATTGGCTTAAAATTGAAATCGCTAACCAATATTATTAATGCATATAGTTTCAGAGATCATTTTTTGTGATTTATTTTCCATTGTTTTGTACTAAATAACTAATCCTTGAAAATGAAGGAAAATCTCTATCCAAAAGCTCTTTTCCTTCTATTGTGGGAGTACTTAAGAGGAGAGAACAGAAGATAAAAGTAATCTTAGTTAGAGAAGTCAAATAAATTTAAAGTTATTTAATTATTTTTATTCATTGATGCTAGCCTTTTTTATTTGTTTTTTTTTGTCAAAGTAGTAGTGACTCTCATTTGATATATTTATTGATGAAGAAAATATATACTAGTTAATAAATCCGAAAGTATTTCACAAAATTGTAAAACAATTAAGTTCAACAATGAAATTACAAATATATTTGAATGAGGTTCATTTACTGAGGATATGCAGAAATATCAACTAATATAATAAAAAATTTCCATACAAAATATTAAAGTATAATTTCGAAAATAAAGGGAACATCGACCTCATTTGAAACAAGCATGTGCATTCGCCGTCTCATTTGAAACAATCATGATCGTGACTCGCTCGTTAGTTGTTATATATCTTTATATATATCATTAGTATCGATCTACTGATTGAGTTTGCTCAAACGTGCCGAGTAGCGTCTCTCCTTCACTCGGCTGAAAGAGACAAAACTAATGGTGTGACGTTTGAGCAAACTCAATCAGTAGATCGATACTGATGATATATATATATATATATATGTGTGTATATATATATATATATACTTCCTCCGTTTCTAAATATTTGACGCCGTTGACTTTTTTAAATATGTTTTGACCATTCATCATATTAAAAAAATAAGTAATTATTAATTCTTTTCCTATCATTTGATTTATTGTTAAATATACTTATATGTATACATATAGTTTTACATATTTAACAAAAGTTTTTGAATAAGACGAACGGTCAAACATATGCTAAAAAATTAACGGTGTCAAATATTTAGAAACGGAGGAAGTATATAATATATGACTAGGGCTCACTCGTCTTTATCGTTATATGTGCTGATCTAGTTTGTTCAAATTTGACTTCCTCAGTTTAATTGTCTCTTTTCGTTGAGCGAAATGAGACCAGAGCGAATGCATTGACACAACTTGGACCTGCTCCTTATCTTATTTAATTTAGTAAATACAGTACAGTATCCCAGAGAATTAAAAACGTAGCTATTTATTTGTGCAGGACAAGAGTTACGTTGTCGCGGCATGCAAGTAGGATTTCAAAGGTGGAGCCCACGTTTCTACTTGTTGTGGAAAATGTGTTGACGATATCACTTTTTCTATATCATAATTGATATAATAGGGAAATTTTCTTAACAAAGTAGTTATTCATGTTAATATAATTATTATCCAGGTTAATATAATTGTTATTCAAGCTAAAGAATGCAAATTAAATTTTCACTATGATTCAATCTTTTTTCTTCTTTTCCCTCTCACTCTTGCGCGAACATTAAAGTTGTTAACCTGAATAACTACAGTTCATAACTTAAATACCAGAATATTTAATCTGAAAACATTAAGATTCAAATTAATATAACAAGTACAACATATGGGTAAAGTATGTAAAGTAAATACTTAAAGTCCTTAATTTGAATAACTAACTTTATTAACCTGAAAACATTATGTTTCAACCTAAAAAGCAAGAATAAACTTTCTGGTTCACTCTGTAACCTTAATATATACAATTCTTAACATGAAAAACTGTTAATTTTAACCGAAATATAAGAATACCTAACTTGAAAGCATTCAGTTTCAATTTAATACAAGTACAATCTTGTTGCTACAGTATGTAACATGAATAATTTGAATCCTTAACTTGATTAACTACTTACATGAATAATTTAAACTTAATACGAAGACACTCAGTTTCAACCTGCAAAGCAAGTACAAACTTAATATGAGTAGTTTGTAACCTGAATACCTACAATCCTTGTCCCTGAATATCAAAAATACTTAACTTGAAGACAATCAATTTCAAATTAATACAACTAATACAAACTTGCTGGTATAGTATGTAAACTAAATAATTAAAGTCCTTAACTTAAATAACTACTTTTAATAACATGAATAACATAATACTTAACTTGGAGACATTCAATTTCAACCTAAAAGGAAAGTACAAACTTCCTTATACGGTCAATAATCTGAATACCTACAATCCTTAACTTGAATAATTGTTATTCATAACATGAATACCAGAATACTTAACTTGAAGACACTCAGCTTCAAATTGATGAAACAAGTACAAACTTCCTAGTATAGTTGTAGCCTAAATAATTAAAGTTCCTCATTTGAATAACTACCTTTAATAACCTGAAGACATTTAGTTTTAACCCGAACAAGAAATGTTAGAGGGAGAGAGGAAGACGAAGATTGAAAGAAGAATAGATATACAACTTGCGAGTAAAAAGCACAAGGAGAGAAAAAGAGGGACAAAGAGATCACGCGAGAGGAAGAGGAAGAGAGATACAACTTGAGAGGAAGGACAGGGAGAGAGAGAGATCACAAGCAGAAGAGAGAGATGTCAGAATTTGATTGTAGTATCAAATTTGATATTGAATATGATATAAGCATATGCGAACGCTTACTAAAAATTTTGATTTTTAAACTTACAAATTACTCATATATCTATAGAAACTCTCATTTAGATTTCTAAAACTCTATTAGTATATTAATCTTATTATTTTTATGAAACATTCAAGAATTCTCCGTAATTGATACGTTTCTAATTATCTTTTCATAGTGCACATGCATACAGCATATATGTATGCAGTGCCAGCCAACATGTACATTGCAAATCGTACTTAAAAAAAAGAATTGATGAAAACATAATTTATAATTAATTTTAATATGAGATGAATGATATTTTTCTCGTAGTGACATACTTTCTCGTTCAATCTTCTATAAGTATCTGTATCTGTATGTATGTATGTCTACATATACATACATACATATATATATATGTACATACATATACATATATATATATATACATATAATATAAATATATATATATGTATATATATATGTATATATATGTGTGTGTGTGTTTTTTTACTGTATAACCCCGTATTCAAATCTATATTAAAAATTCAATAGAAAGATAATAATATGATTACCATATGGCAATTATTCGTGAAGTAAGTAAATCCTATCTGATTACACTTTTCTAATTAGACCTTTCTATTGAATCTACGACAGTAACTTAATTAGAAATGATAGACGAATGTATAATTAAATTGGTTTGGTACTGGCCCTCAATATCGAGCTAAATATGACATAAACAGATCTTGTATAATATTTCAAATAGATATTTACTGTTAAAATACAAATAAAATAATATAGACATTAATCATGATTCTGTTGTCATTTTCATTTCCATTCATCTATTTATTCATCGCTCTCATTCTCTCCCTTCACTTGTCTTTCCAGCACAGCTAGCATTCTACCAACCAATGGCAACATCCTTTCTCTTCTCTCTCATTCTCCTCCTCATCACTGCCCTTTCTCTTCCCTTTCCTCTCCATGCGTCATCTGTAGACCCCTTGAGCGCCGGTGCGACCACCGTCCGCTACTGGAATCGCAAGATTCCTAACAATGCTCCTCACCCCGACTTCTTCCTTTCACTCCTCTCCCCTCTTCCCGCATCTGTCTCCTCTTCCCTCTCCTCTCCGCTCTCCATATCCCCATCCATCTGCCGCTCTGCTCGCCTCCTCTGCCCTAACTCTACCTATTTTCAGTCCCTCTCAAGCACTGTCTTCATAGATGGATGCACCTTTAGTTACTCATGCACCTTCACATACGAACATACCAACATCACTATAAAGCCTGGTATATTTTTTCGGGAGCAAGAATTGAAAGAGGGGAATGTGGTCAGAATGCCAGATATAGCGAATGAGTTGACGACGGCTCGTTCGTCGTTCCTTCCCCGATCGATCGCGGATAGGATCCCATTCAAGGCTGAGGCTGTCAAGTCCCTGTTCGGGCTAGAGCCAAACACAACCTTGGCAAAGGCTGTGGATGAAACGGTGGCGCAATGCCAGAGCTCGCCAAGCAAGGGCGAGACGAAGCGGTGCGTCACATCAGCAGAGGACATGATCGACTTTGCCGTGGCGATGTTAGGTGATGACATTGTGGTTCGGAGTACCGTACTGCCAAATGGGCCCGGCGAGTCGATCATGATTGGTAAGCTATGATATTAATTAGAGTTGCAAGCATCCTATAGAGTGTAGCTATCCAGTGTCAACTAGTTAAGTGGCGCACTTGTATTCATAGGAAATAGAATTAAATTAAATTCTAGCTAGTGAAAACCAGAATAACCTAACCTCCTACATTATTATACCTGTATATATATATATAGTTTTCGTGTTGGAACGGGGCAAGAAGGTATAACCAGGCATATTTGTGTAAAATGAAAGGCTGGCTTACAACAGTTAATTATCTAATACAGTAATACTAATATAGTGGATATATAATTTTTGATTTTGTTCATTTGTTATATATGTAGGTAAGGTCAAGGGAATAAATGGTGGCAAGATTACCAGCTCGGTATCATGCCACGAATACTTATTTCCATACATGGTATACTACTGCCACTCGGTGCCTAAAATCAGAGTTTATGAGGCCGAGATCCTGTCCGTCCAGACGAAGGAGAAGATCAACAGCGGTGTCGCCATCTGTCACATTGACACGTCTGCCTGGAATGCTGGGCATCCTGCTTTTGTGGCACTAGGTGGGAAGCCAGGTCAGAACAAGGTCTGCCACTGGATATTTAATGGCTCTATGACCTGGGTCATCGCCGACAAATCCTAATTACACACACGTTTCGATCTGAATCGATGAACCATATATATATGCAGCATCAGACCTATCTTAGTATATATTGCTGGTCTGCTACTGCACTTCTCCAGTGCGATGTATCCGTGTGTTTTCAATATAAATAAATATAAAGTAATTTTATATATATCCGTGTGTGTTGTCTATTGTGTTTGGATGATCTAATTCGTCCCGCAATTTCCATTTTTCTCGGCATCGTAACCTTCATAATCGCAGTGGACTTTCGTTCCCCTTGTAATCACGCGAGCAGATAGTCAAACGAACGCCGTGATGATCGCTATCCGCGTTAGACCTGCTCCGATTAAACGTGTCTTCGTGTCTCCCTTTGGAATCTTCTGAATCCCTCCTCGAAGATGATGCCACTGTATTTGTCGAGGAAGAGGAGGATCTGGGAGAAGTGATCGAGTTACCTAAAACCGATCCGCTTTCATGACCTCCTATTGAGCTCAGATCTCTTTCTTTGAGCCTATGATATGCATTTCTATATGGTGACACGGAGTCGCCCATCATCATAAGAGACTAGCTAATTGATGATGAGACCTCCTAACTACAGCCATGCTAAAAAAGCATCAATCTATTACTCAGGGCGTTCTCTGATAGATCAAAGGTTTGGAAGGTACTATATGCTATGGATAATTGTGAGATGTTCTGGTGGATCAAACCAGAACCATGGTTTCAAGTTCAGCTTCTAAACCGGTGGCATTAGGTTAGGTAGGAGCAAGTCTGGATATTGAGGAGATCGAAGATGAGATGGATTGAGGGACAATAAGACTGAGATGGGGACGGAGAGTTGGCGCTGGTGGGGCTAGACTCTAGGAACAGGAGGAGGTGTCGCGGCAGCTGCCAGGATGGGGATGATTTGGCGTGGTGGCGTTGGCCGGGACTTGGACGTGGTGTCACAGGCGTGCAAGGAGATGAGGGGTCGTGGGTGGCTCTATAACAGAGGAGGTCGAGGGGATTAGGGAAGGAGGGCAGCAAGCGGGCAAGCGCTAGCGGCGAGACCGCTAGATTCAACTCATAGGAGAGGATATGTAGGGGCAACGCATGGGGAGGACCGGAGGACCGGAGGAGGTGTCTCTGGTCATGGTAGGGTAGAAGTGGAGGGGGTAAAATGAAAAAAAGGAGATGTTAAGGTTCCCATTTTTTCTCTCAGGGAGGGATGTGGATTCGTGGAAGGATCCCTTTAGAAAAGAAGTTTCTTGAAGGGTATCGAAAATATTTCGCAAACTGTGGAATCTAACGGCTAGAAGCATCGGAATGAGGAATCGAACGGCTGAAGTTCCCTTAATGACGTGGCGTTGTATTTTGCAAGGAAAGGTTTCACTTTTCACTTATTTAGATGTACCTAAATTAAGTAGCATAATTGACAATGTAAGGTGAAAGCTTAGAGTTTCATTACTTTGATTTTATAAAAAAGGTGGCTGGTGGCATACACTAAGGGGCTGTTTAGTTCCCAAAAACTTTTCCCAAAAACATCACAACAAATCTTTGGACATATGTATGAAGCATTAAATATAGATAAAAAGAAAAACTAATTGCACAGTTTACATGTAAATCGCGAGACGAATCTTTTGAGCCTAATGAGTTTATGATTAGCCATAAGTACTACAGTAACCCACATGTGCTAATGACCGAATAATTAGGGTCAAAAGATTCGTCTCGCGGTCACTACAGGATGGTACACATTTGGAGGCGAGCTAATCAGCCTCAAAATCCTAAAAAATCCGCCTCAGAATATGTATTGAGGCCAACATGCACCGCCTCGGATACTCCTGCCTCAAAATAGTATATTGAGGCAGGCATAAGAGTTGGCTTCTGAAAGGTGTATTTGAGGCTAACCATGTATGCCTCAGAATTTGATTGAGGCAGACCGCATGCCTCAATGCTAGGGTACTGTCGAAACAAGATTTCGGCAATAATAAAAGGGGGTGGCTATCAAGCTAGAAAAGTGGATGGGTTTGGAGACAAGGAATTTTATATAGGTTCAGGCCTTCTTATTCAAGAAGTAATACGCTACTCCTGTCCGGGGATGATTCCGCCGAGTATGTTATTGATCGTATGATTGGGAAAAAAACATCGTCCCGAGAGGAACCCGGACCCCTCCTTATATAGGGGAAGGGATCCGTATTACAAAATACAGTCCATATCCCTAACGGAATATGTGATTACAGATAAAATACAATCGTGACTGACGAAGATCTCGGATATTTCCTTGACACTCAAGTTAGAAACTAACCCGAGTCCTCATAAAGATATTCTATCTTTATTTGGTACCATATATCCGACTAAATTATAACTGTCGTGTTGATATGGGGTATCCATAATCTCCACAGTAGCCCCCGAGACCTTCGCAGTTTACAAAACAATAACCCGAGTGCTTCAATTCAACTTGCTCCAGCTTGTCGAGTGCTAAAAAACTGTGAAGGGCGAAAATAAAACATGGTGCATCGGGTAGATGCACCTAATTAGGTGTAGCCCCCCCGACTATATGGTTAGTTGAAAAACTAAACATGTAGTCAAGAACCGAGTGGTTTTATAACGAAGCTTGCATGGTACTCAATAAAATACCCAGCCGACTGCTTCTCAACTTGAATATATCAAGGATAAGAAATACGAAAAGGGCCGAGTGATAAACACTCAAAAGGTCCAAAAATAGACATATTTGATAGGAATCCGAGTAAGAAACTCTTAAAATGATCCACCAAACATGACAAAAATCATGGTAATCAACGAGTCTAATAGCCTAAGCTATGACTCTCACCATAACCAAATTAAGCATATAACATGCTAAGAGAATGACTCTTAACAAATTAGTCATCTCGAATCAACCCAAACAGCTTTTGCAGCCTAATAAGGCTTATAAAAATAGTATAACACCTTCCTGCTGGGCACCTTTTGTTTGCATCGTATTAATTCCAAAGAATTATCAAACTGCATTAAAAAGGATTTTAACAGCATTGGGCCACATCATTGTGAGCACAAATTGCCAAAGCAAAAAGTGTCTAAGTCCCTAGGGATCACAACGGGCCACGCTGATTGTAATATTGGACTGAAGTACTGTACAGGCCTAGGCCCATTAGTACTCCCGATACCCTAAAAACACCGAAGTCCAAGCGTCGCTTCGTCTTCCCCGCCGAGACTCTCGCCATTTTCCCCATTTCCTGCTACAGTTCAAAACTGCGCCGGCCAAACTAGGGTTCACCAATCCGCTCCAATCCATCCTCAAAAACTCCACGAAAGTTCTCCCCGCGTCCACCGCTTCGATTCCCCATCCCTCTCCAGCCATATCTCGGACCAAATTAAACCATCCAGTTCACATTCATGGCGGAAGAAAGAGAAAGCTTCGAGAGTCAGTGGGCGCCCTCCGATGTGACGGAAGATAATCTGAAGGAGATGGTGGTGCACGGCGTTCTTCCGGCGAAGGAGATCATCGGGTGGCGACCAGCATTTGGCGAAGCATTCCCGACCCCCGATACGCATGAAGTCGTGGTATTTGCTCATTTCTTCTATGGCGGTTTCTCCCTTCCAACCTCAAGATTTTTCCGGGGAATTCTGAATTTCTATGGAATCAGCCTGCATCATCTGAACCCGAACTCCATAGTTCACATCGCCAATTTTATTCATGCCTGCGAAGCCTTTTTAGGTATTAGGCCACATTTCGCCTTGTTCCGCCGCATCTTCTTCCTTAAGCCTTAGCCAAACAAGAGCAAACCATGTGTTGTTTGGGGGGGGCTGGCTTCCAGCTCAGGGGAACCTTAAGCCAAAAATACTTCTCCATGCCCTTCAAAACCTCAAACAAAGGCTGGCATGCAAATTGGTTTTATGTCCAAAACCCTGAGCCTGCTCTCCCCGAGTACTCCTGTCTTCCTCCAGTTTATCGGGATACTTGGAACTCACTGCCAATGGGAGATGAAGCCGCGCAAGCAGTGGAACTGATGGAGAGGATGATAAAGCTAAAAGAACAAGGCCTTCAAGGGGAACAGATCACCCGGCACTTTATCAGGTGTCGGTTAGCTCCAATCAAAGAGAGATCTCGTACAGCCTTCGAATTTGACGGCAGGCACGACCCAAACCGTGAAGATCCAGATTCTCTTGACTTCAAGGTCATGAAGGAAAGGATGTATAAGATCTTCTCCAATGCTATCATTGTCAGCTATTCACACTTGCTGCCAGTCATACCGTTCAATGCATTCAATCCTCCTCCACCGGTATGTATTCAAACGTTCCAACCTTCCTCAAAACATGATTTCGTCTCTTGTTGAATTGCTCGACATTTATGCTCAGGAGTTCGCATTGATGAAGTCAAGTCCTCCAATCGCCCAGCACCAATCACCTCGCCGCCAAACTAGTCAGGGAAGCGGGGGACCAAGAATTCGGTCTGAAACCCAACCAAGTGCTTCTGATCCAGTCGGCCAGTCAGATTCTCGCAAGAGGAAGCTGGTTCCAAGTGACGACGAAGGCGATGATATCGGAAAGCTCAAAGATAAAGGAGCGACCGGAAAACCTCCGAAGCCAACTAATCCGAAGAAGAAAACCTCTAGTCGTCCTTTGCCAAAAATCAGAAAGTCTTCCAGGTACCGATCATATAACAATCTTCCTTGTATTAATATTCTCCCATCATGAAAATAACACTGATGGCAAAACTTGTAGGAAACCATCTGATATAGATCCTTCTGAGAAAGACTCTGATCTAACTAACATGGAAACGGATTCCTCAAAAGAAACCGAGCCGACTGCAAAAGATCACCCGAGTGATAATCTGCAGGCCAGCGGCAATGTAGAACCCAGCGACAAACCCATGACTGCAAGCCAATCGACTAAAGCTGGAGTCGGAGTTAACCAGGAGCCCCCGATTGGAAACCAGTCGGATACAGGGCCAAGCCAAAAAATTCCTGAGGTTGAAGCTCAAACAAACAGTCCTCCCGAAAAGGATGCCGACCATGACTCTGAAACTAGATCTCGTGCGAAAACACAAGAGTCCACTCGTCCCCGACCGGGGATCATCACAGGTAGACGCGCTATCTGAAATCATTACGATCCAACAGACTTTTATTTGATTGCTTCATCTTCATTCATGGATACACTAGGGCCAATAATTGGTGATGAAGAAGAAATCCTCCGGATACG